TTTTATATACTCTCTCAAACACCATGCAGACTATAGTGAATGTCTTTTCCACTATTATGTCTAGAGAAGGCCCATGTAGTGTTCTTCTCTATTGACTTTTCCCTCTCTGCTGTAACAGAATCAAGGTGCTGGACGTGTTTGCCGAGCAGACACTGGAGTCAGTATTCACTCGACTCATTGAACCTCCGGCGATGGGGAGTTTAGAGGCTGCCAAACAGAGACTGCAGGATCTAGGGGCTCTGACCGCAGATGAGAAGCTCACCCCACTGGGCTACCACCTGGCCTGCCTGCCGGTTGACGTGCGCATAGGAAAACTCATGCTGTTTGGGGCCATATTCCGCTGCCTTGACCCGGCATTAACCATTGCAGCAAGTTTGGCTTTCAAATCACCTTTTGTAAGAATGTTTAGCTTTGCGTAGCGTTGGCCTCGTAGCGTAGTTGCCTAAGTGATATTTAAAGGTTGAAAAAGGAGGAATACAGAAATAAGCCTATGTCAATAAGATGATTGGAGCGGTTTGTGTGTCTTTGGCTGTGAAAGTTGTTCTGATTGGCAAATGACTGTGACAAATACAGATGCAGCAAAGTCGGGAGAGTGGAATGAGTCTGTAAATTAGCCAAAAAAATTACTTGGGCAGTTATGATACGAGGCTAGCTATATTTATGCCTCTATCAACAAATCAAACTAAACAATGTCTGTATGCTGTAATTCTTAGGTGTCTCCGTGGGATAAGCGCGAGGAAGCCAATGAAAAGAAGCTGGCGTTTGCTCTGGCTAACAGTGATCATCTGGCTTTATTACAAGCTTACAAGGTACCAAACTCTGGGGTTAATTTAGATTTTTGGCCACAGCTATTCGTCTTCACCCGTTTCTTCTTCTCTATTATTATTTTTCCTTGCAAACGATCGCGATTGTGAGGGCCTAAACGAACGGGCCTTGATGAAAATTCCCCAAACCAAACCAAATGAGCACTGATTTGACATGTCACATCTAGAGACATAGGTTCACAAAAATTCTCAGTTTTTGGGGATATTCCTTATGGTTTGTCGTAGCACGCCAGTGAAAAAAACCTCATTTCCTGTTTCTTTGACGACTTCTCATGGCCACAGGCATTGGTCTAGACTCTAGACAGGACAGAGTCTAGTTCTCTAGATTCTATAGAACTTAAATTCTTGTCTGAATCTCAAGGACTATAAAGTATAAGGCAACTGAACACAAAAGTGCCCCCTACCATAGACATGAAATGCCAACATTAGCAGATGTGTGTATTAAATTCTATGCATGACTACAAGCAAAAAATACATTACGGGGCATTTTTCACAGTTGGCCAGCAATGGCACAAACAAGCTTAGTTTGATCGTGCTGAAATTTGAATCACTGCTTGATCTCAGCCTGAATATAAATTCTATAAATGCAATTGAACCATTAAAAGTAAAAGCATTTTTTCCCCAGAATTTTTTATAACATATATTATTACTTTTTCTATTTCCACTTTATCAATTAATGTGACTTCAAGTTTTGACGTGTGAAAGAATAAACATTTAAAGAGGAAAATTAACATATGTTTTATTAATCATATTTATTTTATTTTATTGCCTCTACAAAGTATCCCAATCGCACTGTGAGTTCTATATCGTGAAATATCGTATTGAGAAATAATTTCCTCCCCAGTCTTTAATTTAAAAAAAACTAAACTGTGGGGTTAATAATAGTCTTGTAAGAATTAAAACTCAATATTGAAATTCTTAATTAAGGTCTGTTTGTTTTTTTTCAGGGTTGGTGCTCGGCTGCAAAGAATGGAAACCAGGCCAGCTTTGTTTACTGCAGAGAGAACTTCCTGTCCTGGCGAGGCTTACAGGTCAGTCAGTCCTGTCTGAACACATTAATTTGCCTTGAACAATTATGTAACCCATTTCCCAAACAGCCACAGCAGCGTTGACTTGGCCTCAAGATAAGGGGGCAGAATTGTGCTCACTCAAGGACCTATTTAATTTCTAAATTCTTAAACTTAAACGAACTTTATAGATCCACTAGGGAGATTATTTGGACACAGTAGCTCACACATCATAATATATTATAATTCAAAGCGCAAAATATAAATGGTAATAATCAATTAAAAATAAGCAAAAAAAACAAGAAGAGACTGGTGTCAAATTAGGCATAATTACTAGGGATGTAGCAATAACCGAAATATTGTGATATCGTATCATCAAAAGTCTCACAGTAATATCATGGGCTGTCACAATATACTGAATTACAAGTTCCTTTGCTTAAATGCATGGTTTTATAAAGGCAACAGGTTATGAACATCAGAAACTACATATCCCATGATTCATTTCAGGGCAGACAACATGAAGTTATAATCCCAAGAATTCAAGTAAAAAACATGACGGAAATAATTCACATCAAAATCTTGTCAAGGTATTTTAAAAGCAAAAAAGTGTCCCATCTTCAATTATATTAGCCTCTTTATAATATCAAAATAATATAATACCATGAGATGCATATTGTGATAGTATCGTACCAAGAGATTTAGATATCGTTACATCCTTAATAATTACATAAATGTACAAGTGCTTACAAGTAAAATAAAAAAATCTATATCTACAAATATAGTAATACAAATATTTCTCAGCTATATACAAAAGATCATCCGGAGAAACGGTGCAAAGGTGAAATAGTGATTGATAGGACATGGCGTTATCTGTTACATAAAGGTGAGTTGTTGTACAGTTGTAGGGAATATTATATTAATGTAGTCCTGTAGCAGAGCTGTAGGAGCCTGTTGGAGGAGGAGCTCCTCTGTCCCCTTAATACTATGTACTTTTCCTTTTTTTTTAGGAGATAGCCAGTCTAAAGAGGCAGTTTGCTGAGCTGCTGTCAGATATTGGATTCATAAAAGAAGGACTGAGAGCCAGGATGATAGAGCGGATGAGCTCCAAAGGGACAGATGGAGTCCTGGAGTCCACTGGCCCAGAGGTGAGTTTTTGCCAAAGACCATTAATTGTAAGACAACACCATAGATTAACCAAATATTATATTTCCAGGCGAATCTAAACGCGGAAAACATCAAACTCATGTCTGCTATGCTCTGTGCTGCCCTCTACCCCAACGTTGTGCAGGTACTCTACCACTCTACCCCTCTACCACAATCTCTCATTTTATCCGTTTAATTTTTTATAATAAATGTAATATTTCAGTGACATGTTGGGACATGGTTCTATTGTAAGTTTTGTTCATATTTTTATGTTTTTGAAAGAAATACCCAAATTTATGATCCACAAATGTTGAATCATTATACTTACATCTCTACAAACTTGCCATATTAATCTATAACATCTATGTTATGTCTTTTCAGATGGGTTGTTTGTTTATTTATACTGACAGAAATTATGTTGAACATTTTGCTAGTTTTTGTTTCATGTGGATAGGCCTAGTAATTACAGTGATATTATTGTATTATTTTTGTTGATTAATACCAAATACCAGGTCAACAAATCTGCATTTTGACAATTAAATGGCAAACTCTACCATATAATTCTCACTTTCTCAAATTTAAACTTATTAGATAATCTAGACAGAATGATGTTAAGTCTTTTGAACATAAGGTATTTCTTTGCAGGTGCGGTCTCCTCAAGGAAATTACAAAATGACGAGCAAAGGGGCCATGAAGATGCAACCGAAAGCAAATGAACTTCGTTTCCTGACCAAGAACGACGGATACGTGAATGTGCACCCGTCCTCTGTCAACTACACAGTAAGTACAGGTCCAGATCATGTGTAACTTAAGTCTTGTATAGAAAAAGGATTCTAGCTTTATTTCGTGTTCCAGGTTCGGCACTACACCAGCCCGTACCTGGTGTACCACGAGAAAGTGAAAACCAGTCGTGTGTTCATCAGAGACTGCAGCATGGTGTCTGTTTACCCGCTGGTGTTGTTCGGAGGAGGACAGGTCAATGTGGAGCTGCACAAAGGAGAGTTTCTCATTTCCCTCGATGACGGCTGGATTCGATTTGCTGCTGCCTCTCATCAGGTGCGTGTCCCTCTCTGTGTCCTTTTAATCTGCTGCGTAATAATAATAATAATGGTGATGGTAATAATAATAGTAATAGTAATCGTAATCTGCTGTATGATTTCACTGACTGTGGTGCTGTCGTTCAGGTGGCGGAGCTGGTGAAGGAGCTGCGCTGGGAGTTGGACCAGCTGCTGGAAGATAAGATCAAGAATCCCGTCATGGACCTGTGCAGTTGTCCTCGTGGCTCTCGTATCATCCGCATGATCGTCCACCTAATCTCTACACAGTAACTGCATCTCCAAGGGCTCTGAGTACACACACATGCAGTACTGCAGTAATCAACACAGGGACGTCAGTGTATTTAAGGAAAGTGTGATTATGTATCTCACACAATCACAGTGTTTACACAGAATATATTTACTATATTTCCTACTAAACAAGACTTCAACGCTTAATTGCCTTGAAATAATCTATGCAGAGAACCACAAAATGATGCACTTCTTTCTAAATATAATGTCATATCTACTGTACGAACAGTATAGAGGAACATGGACGTGGGCTTTAAGAACAACTGCTGTTTAGCTTTGGGTTGTGTTTTTCACACAACTGTACTTTTGTGTCCATATTGGATTTGTAATATTTAATGTTACTATTTATTAGTAAATGCATGATTGACAAATCTAAAAATGTCTGCATGATGGTCAGTGTTTTTACATTTTCTGAATGTATTTCAATATAATGATGTCAAACAAAACCTTCACAATGTGAATACAGGGCCTTCAGGAGACTGAGAGATCTTTCTGTCATAAATGACCTTTGCATGATAAATTCAGTAATAAAGTTCAAAACGTTTACTGTCAATTAACATAATACATAAATAATAATAAAATAATGTAACTCAGTATTTCTCATCTTTCTTTACATTGTGTTTTCTTTGACCACTTGTGTTTATGGCCAGTTCATGTGAGGTAAAACAAAAGGCTTAACAGGCTTCTGGTTAAGGACTGCCCCTTTCATTCACAGCACTGTCTCTAAGGCAACAGACCAAAACAAATGTGGTATCACTATCCCATTAAGAGCCATTATCTTGCCAACTCACTGTGCCAACTCTGGAGATGGTGAGATGACTTGCAAATATCATTTGATTTAAATGCTTCTTGGACTTACTTTTTCACTTTCCATCTTGCCCTGCAGACTGGGAATGTAGTCTGACTTGTTGTGTTCAAGTTGTTTTTGATAATGGTAAGTTGTACTATCTGATCTGATTTTGTATTTTAAATTAAATAATGGACTATAACTGAATATTTTTCTGAAATATCCCAAAGCAAACTACTAGGAAAACCAGGTCCCACAGTTCTCGGCCTGCCAAGAAGCCTGGACCAAGCCAGACTCATAACAAAACTCCCAAAAAGAAGTCTGCGAGTGCCAAAACCCCAAAGCCCGAGGTGGACCTCCTCAGCGCCGCGGCCATGGAGAATCTCTTTTACATTTCCCACAATGCAGCACATTGTCTGGAGTTCAGGGGCTTTGGATGGGCAAAGAAATCCAAATCAAGAAAGAAGACAAAGGGCAAAAAGCGGAAGAATAAAAAGTAGGATTTTATTGTCAGTGAGATGTACAGAAAAATGGGTTTAGTAATTGTACTGGACCAATTTGCCATCATCATGGAAGACACTGGAATGCTATTGATTAACATTTTGGAAAATTGTAAGGCATAAATTCCCACCTTTATTCATTTTCAGCAACTTTATTGTAAGACTGATCTTCACTATAGTTATTACATAGTTATAGTTGTAACAGTTGGCAAATTCTTGCAATCAAGTCTTGTAATACTCTTATAAAAATATTATTGTGCACCATAAATAAGTGTACAAGGACGCCTGCTGTGCCATAAAACTGAACTTGAACTGATAAGTCATAATCTATGCATCCAGTTGTACCCACACTATGAAAAAAATAACTTGCCATTAGTACCTCCAGGCAGTGAATTCTTACACATTTTCTTTAATAAATCAGTCTTTACACTCATCAAACCCTGTACAATAAATAAACTTTTCTTTGGTTTGTGGTCCCACATCTCTCAGTCTGATGGTGGTTTCTTCTTGGCTTCGACATCTTTTTTAAAATTTTCTATTTTCTTGGCAATGTTGGGAACCTACAAAACACACAAGGAAAGCTCATTCATTAATTTCAGTGAGGCATACAGAAATACCACTGGACAGCTGGTTATATTAGATGGGAAATAGAAATAGCAGCCACTTACATCATAGTTTTGAGCGAGGTACATCCCCACAACATTCCCAATGGTGAAGCCAGCCTGTAAAAGAGGAATATTTGATTACTGATGTCTTGGGTTGTAATCAAATCATGTTAAACTAGATATAAGTCAATGAAATGCCAGCCAAGTGTTAGTATTGTTATGTTATGTTATGACAGATAAATGTATGAGGAGTTGAAGAAATCGCTGCACTATTAATCGTGAGTTAAAGACACAATGTTTTCGCATGCTAACTCTAGCAATCAAAATCTACCATAAATTTGACAGGAATATTTAGAAAAAATTTCATCAAAACTTACCAGGAATTGCAACATGTTGATCTAACAAAAGTAACACCGCCAAAATCGGAGTGTTGGAGAAAAATGAAAGTAAAAGTTCTTAAAAGTTGTTATGGAAAAGAAGCATCTAAAAATTGCTAACCTTTCGTCAATATTGTATGGGCGCATGCGCGGGATTTAAGATGAAGCATCGCGATTGTATTAGTTGTAGTTTCATTTCAAGTCAGCGCAACGCTTTTGTGACACCAACAAACTACAACTCCCTGCGCTGTGAATTTTCCATCGTCCACCGGTGGGTGTTGTTGCAATGGTGGCGTCGGGACATTGAATGACTTTGCCTCCATCACAAATATTGCAGGTTTAATCGTTAAATTTGAACGGTTACCATGGAGGCACTAATCCCTGTTATTAATAAGCTTCAAGATGTGTTCAACACCGTGGGCGCCGACATTATACAACTGCCGCAGATAGCAGTAGTAGGCACCCAGGTAAGAGCTATCATTATTTTAATTTGTGATATGCTATGCTAATCTCATAACCTTGCTTTTTAATACTACATAATATATATATATAAAAAAAAGGTGTAGAGTTAGTTTTTTCATGCATACAGCCACACATTGCATTTGGGGGTAACCTATGCTATTCCCTGCATTGCTGTATGCCTCATGGATTGCATTGGCGATGGTTGTTCAATCTATTTTAATCAACCACATTCACTTCCTATTTTAAGAACTTCCCAATCTGTATTTGCGTGACCAGGCCAGGGCAAGGGATCTGTGTTATCTTTGTGCTTTCTTTGCTTATTGTCATACCACTGTTGCACCAGGCCTTTTGGCAACACACATACATGAAGTGAGTGTGCATTTTGTTTCAACAGAGCAGTGGAAAGAGCTCTGTGCTGGAGAGCCTTGTTGGCCGGGACCTTCTTCCTCGTGGGACTGGGATCGTAACCAGGCGACCTCTCATCCTGCAGCTGGTCCACGTGGATCCTGGAGATGCTCGGAAAGCTGATGATGGTAATAAATGTGCACAGACATGTGGATGACACTTGTACAGGTCTGGCAGTGTCCATTCTGACTGCAGCAAATTAAATATAAACCTAATGAAGTTCATGGGATAGCCTTCATTTATTCAGTCTTGGACATAAGACTTTCAAATTGTAATCTTTTTCTGTAATTTCTTAGGATTCATTATTCTAAAGGGCCTATATTATGCTATTTTTGTCTATGTTATAATGTTTTCTCATCACAAACATACCTGGAGTCATGTTTTGTTTCATTCACACACGTTTAATCCGCAAATCCTGCATATTTAGACTGAATTCTTCTCTCAGACAGAAAACACTCTCTTCCACCTTGTGATGTCATGTGGTTATACAGGAACAGCTCCATCCATACACCATTACTAGAATCATTTGGCTAATTTCAGACTGAACTAAAGGTAAAAGGTAGCTGCTATTGTGAAAACTACCACTTCATGACATCACAAGGTATGAATGAAACTAAACACAATGGGTCTGTTTTTTAGGAGGTAACAACATTATAACATGACTGATAGCTCACAATTTAGGATCTTTAACTTACCAGTGTAGTATTTTATTGTTCCTCACCAAAGTATGAATTAATCTATTTTAAACATGGAAACTATAAAAAATAAGTCATGTCACAAATGATAAGAGCGTAAGAGCAGTCACAATAAAAGTGATAGATAGACATGCAAAGGCCACAGATTTGCTTTGGCCTGGAACAAGATTTGCTTGTGCAAGTCTAAACAGTTTCCTTTCTATTCCACAGGCAGAGGTGAAGAGTGGGGCAAGTTCTTGCACACCAAAAACCAGGTACATACAGTATTTACATTTTGCAACATGTCTGTTTATTTTGTTTGAGTGTGTTGAAATCTCTGTTCTGTTCTGTTACAGATTTTCACAGATTTTGATGAAATCCGACAAGAAATTGAGAATGAAACGGAACGCGTGTCCGGAAATAATAAGGTAAAAGGGTGATCCGCTAGTTGTTAATTTGTTATTAAGTTATCAAGTTAAGTTAAGTTATTAATTTGTTTTTAAAGCCACAATTCAACAAGCGCTGATTAAAACTACACACATAAGTGGAAAGTTTTTAATCCCATATTATCCCTAAAATGTTTATTGTTTATATAAAACATTCCATGGGGGTGTGTGCTAGGTCTAAGCATGCTCTGTCAGAGGCTTCTTAGACTTTAATCTTCATAAGACTTTATTTAATCTCACCATAAAGAACTAACTCAGATGGAATAACCACAGGTGAGCTGGTTTGTGCTGCTAAACAAGTCCCTCTCACATAACTACATTCCGAAGCTATTTACCATTAGCCAACAGTTTTTCAGTTTTTGTTGAAAATCAAACACCTAAACAGGACCATGAACACTCATATTGATAATTGAAGTTGCTGAAAATATGTTTTTTAAATCCATTTTTTATTTTTGTTTTGAGTTTTCAGATAGTCTTAAAACCTTTTGGCAATGTTTTCTAATGTGTGCATTGTGTCACCATGGTAACTGCTGAACATCACCACTCACTGTCTCAATAATCATGCCACAGTGTAATTTTCATGTAATTCAACAATACACCAATAAACTGTTGTATAAGCATAAACCAGGACATACATGGACGTACTATAGACTCCACATAATTCTTGTATGTGTTTGTCTCTGCAGGGAATCAGTGATGAGCCCATTCATCTGAAGATATTTTCCCCTCACGTCGTCAACCTCACCCTGGTGGATCTGCCAGGAATCACAAAGGTAACGCACAACACACAGAGACTAAGTGTAATGAAATGAAATGAAACAAAAATCTATCGACAGCTCATGCCTTATGAATATCTCTTCCTTCGAACATTTGATTATTTGTAACTCTGACTAAAATGAATAAACAAAAATAGACAAAATAGAATAATAAACATGCACACATTTAGCCAGTATTTACGATAAACAACATTATCTTTTGGAGTATGGATTCACGGGATATGTCCCTGGTTTAGCGTCATAATTATCGGATACAATTTGCTTTGTAGGATACCAAATTCAAATTTAGTTTCAAAGTGCATCTTTATAATATGATAATAATGTATATGCCGCCTTTTAAAAACAGAGCTTCACAACAAAGTAAAAAAACACAATACACACCTAGCAGATAAAAAGATGCACACATAAAAATAGAAGACATTTCATAAAAAGGCCTAATGATAAAAGTGATTTAAAAGATAATGATGATGCAAGGGGGAGGTTAAGAATATTTTTTAATTGGGAAATAGTCATGAGATGGAAGAAGCAAGATCGGGTGTTTTTCTTAACTTGAGTTTGGAAAGTGAGATGGGAGTCAGAGAATACACCAAGATTTCTGGCAGAGGGAGTTACAGTTTGTTCGTGGAGAAGGGGCCAAGGTGCTGTGAATGGTGATGTGAAATGGACTGAGGTGGATTGATACGGATAACTTCAGATTTGGAGATGTTGAGCTGAAGAACGTTCTGCACTATCCAACTGTTCACATCACTAAAACAGTCTATCACAGCACATTTATGGTGGGTTATAGTGGTTTATGGTTAATGTCTCTATCTCTAATACGTGTAATTACTGGGCCTATCCATAAGAAACAATAACACATGTTCAACGGTATTTCCTGATCTGTGTTATAATGTTGTTTCCTCATCACAAACACACTTGGAGTTGTGTTTTGTTTCATGCACACATGTTTAACACACAAATCCTGCACATGTAGGTTAGGGATGGGTATGATTAGTCGACTAATCGATAATTGATCATCAAGAATTTTGTCGTTCACGTTCATTTTTACAAACAAACCGAATGTAGGTTGAGTATACCACTCAATGGCAAATACTTTTCAGTCTTTTCATCACACCAGTAGCCAAAATAAATAAAGCAACCAACATACATAAAGTGAGTGAAATGACTGTTAAATAAATAGCTGCACTAAACCTGCACACGTCTGATCTCTGAAAACATGAACCATCTCCAACGCGACACACACACAGAACAGACTCTCCATCAACATCCCTCTGTCACAGAGAGAACACTCATATTCCACTGAGTCGTGTCCTTTAGTCCAACAGAAGTTGAACCACATCAGTGCACAAGGAAAGTGCTTTTTTTTTTCAGCGCTTTATACTTTATGCAAATGAACCATGCGGTTTTAAGTTTTGTTTCTGTAAGATGTAAACAAATGTGGCAAAGCTGCATTAAACACATTATAATCTCAAACGGGCTAATGTGGCTTTATAGTGGTTATGTTTATATGTTGTAAAGTTGAGTTTATTTATGCAGATTAGTAATAGTAATAATAATGATGAATTTTAGTATAAAGACGTTAATGATTAATCGAAAATTGATTGTTAATTCTCCCACCGATCGATTAAGAAAATTTAATCGAATGCCCATCCCTAATGTAGGCTGAGTTCTTCTCTCAAACAGAAAACACTCTGTTCCACCTTGTGATGTCATGTGGTAAAATAAGAAGCGCTCCACTATGGTTTTAAACTCCACATACCTGGAATTGCTAATCTCTACTTCAGTAAAGGTAAAAGGAGCTGTTAACTTGAAAACCATCACTACATGACATCACAAGGTGGAACAGAGCAATTTGAGGTTTGGAGATGCAGACAGAATAATAATAAAGAATTACTCAAGCATGTGTGAATGAAACAAAACACAACATTATATAACAATATACAGTATATAACAACATTATAACATGGCTTAAAGCTCACAAGAGTATTGCATAATATAGTACCTATTGTACCTTTAAAAATAAAGACTATACCTCATATATAATACATGGCAAATATGAAGACCCCTTATTGTAAGGTTCAGCATGTGTGTATTTTCTGTTTGATTATTTCTTTCAAAAACAGTGAAGTTTTTGTACCCACAGGCTTTGATTCTGACCTCATTAGTTTCTCCCCTCAGGTTCAGTGTGTTACCGTCTGAAATCCCCCGCTGTACTTTTTAATGAATCAAACTGAACCTACCACTGTGTGCTGTTTGTTAATTGCGTTGCTCTCTGTCAGGTGCCTGTGGGTGACCAGCCCAAGGACATAGAGATCCAGATAAGAGATCTAATCCTGAAGCACATCTCTAACCCAAACTGCATCATCCTGGCTGTTACCGCCGCAAACACAGACATGGCAACCTCCGAAGCTCTGAAAGTAGCACGAGAGGTGGACCTTGATGGTAAGAGATGTCTGAATTAAATATTTATTATAGAAATCTACTACACAATTATATGATTGATTGATACTTTGCAGCTAATATCCGCAACATTCCTTGGGGGTGTGATGCTAACTGAAAACACTACTCTGTTAGAAGCTCTGTTACTCAAGTTAGACTTTATCTGAGTTTTATTTTAACACATTGACAAGAAAGACGTAACTTAGTTGGAACTACAAGAGGCGAGATGATTCGTGTGCTTAAACATGTCTCTCACATGTAATTTTTGTGATTACTGTTGCGGCAGTAGCTCAGTTGGTAGAGCATTCGCCCACTGATCTGAAGGTTGGCGGTTCAATTCCAGCTCTTGACAAAAACATCACAGGTTGAGCGGTCAGATCCACTGACCCACAGGTTGGCTGGTGTGATTCCAGCTCCCACAGATGAATGCTGTTGTTGTGTCCTTGGGCAAGATACTTAACCCACGTTGCCCACAGTGTCTGCGTACACTGGTGTGTGAATGTGTGTGTGAATGGGTGAGTGGTTCCTTGTTGTAAAGCGCTTTGAGTGCCTTGAAGGTGGAAAAGCGCTATAGAAAAATGTGACCATTTACCATATTTTTAAGCTTTTATACTACATTAAAACATTTTTGACAGTTTTTTTGCTGTCACCAGAACATGTAGACCACCCCCCACTGCAATGTCACTGCAAAATATCAATCGATCAGGGATATTATCTCATCACACCTCATTTATTAGCTTGTTATTTATATTTTAGTTGTAGGGGTTATCAAAAGAATTGCAAATCAGATACTAATCAATACTGGAAGTAAAACTAGGTGTGCATCTGAATGAATTTGATAGTGTTGATTAGTATCAATGCTGAAAAAATAAACATACCGTAAATAGGAGAAAATTGTACCTTGCCTGTAGGGTTTTAGAACGGTCATGATCTCTATATAAGAACAAGTGATCTTATTCCTTCGTATTAAATCGAGTTTAAAGTTTTAGTATTGTGGTAAAAGTAGTTAGTATTAAGATAAATCGCTGTAGTTACCCTTCACTAAAAGTACAATGTTTAAATGTTTTCACCAGTAGTGGTCCAGCAGCTGATAGAGTAAATTCTCTTCTTTTTTTTCAATTTTAAAATTGCTTTGGCTAATGGAAACTATATGGCTTTGCAGTTGCAGCCTGCGGGCTATGAAAACGGAAATGTTTCATTTTTGCTGTTTAAATCCAATCTCTTTACAAATAAATTGTTTTCTAGATTACATTAACAATAGGGTATGTAGAATTCACTGATTATAGACGGACTGCAGTCACCCTTCACTCTGAGTTGCCTAAACCTTTTGAGAACACGCTCATTCTCATTCAGAGAAAGTCATTTTAGGTTTATTTCCAACTGGGTTTAGTTGGATTTGGCAACCCAAAGTACGGTGCTCATTAAGCTCTGTGATTACATAATCGCCTTCAGAACTAAAAAAGTAAAAGTGAAAATTCTAAACCTTTAAAACTCTTGATATTTGTGGATAGTTCACATGACATTAAATGCAGTACAATGCATGACTAAGTTTTGACTTTCACAAATCCAGGGAGGAGGACCCTGGCGGTTGTGACTAAACTGGACTTGATGGACGCTGGCACTGATGCTATGGACGTCCTGATGGGCAGAGTCATTCCAGTGAAACTTGGTATTATTGGAGTTGTGAACAGGTAACCAATATTTAATTTGCATACTTGTAATGTTATTTATATTTGAAAAAAGTCTTTTAATGATGACACCAACCTATAATTTATTTTCTGAGATTACATTGTTTCTTAAATTATTGCTTCCTCTCAACCCCTGAAAGATTTTTCTTCTCTTACTGAGTCTGACCAGTGAGTCGTGACCAACAGTCTCTCCATTATGCCCTGAGCACATGGACATAATTGATCACTCTTCAGGTAGCTAGTCAAATGTATGCTGTATGCAAGTTGGCTTTAATCAGATGATCATTGCCTTTAAAAATTACAGAAATATGGTGATGATGTAGAAGTTAAATTATATAATACATCATTACACAGATGCAGATTTATATTAAATAAGGTTGTTAAAAGTCTCGGAGCTCACCTGGAATACCCTTTCGCCCTGTGAATGCACCAGATCACCATTGTAAAGTCTTAATAAAGCTCAATGTCACCACGGTGATGAGATCTGAGCGCTCTCTTATACATATTTAATGCAGGTTCAGCGGGGGACGTATTTGCTCTTAATATAATACACCTAATACATCTTCAATATGAGATTATCATTTATGAAAAATTAATGGATGACATTATGCCGGTGTTAAACACTTGAATGGGAAATATAATAGAGATAAAATCAACTCTGTGAACTCTGTTTGCTTTTAATTTCGTCTGATTGCTTTTAATCTCTTTGTTTAATTAAATCTGAACTTTCAGGAGCCAGCTCGATATCAACAATAAGAAGTCTGTAGCTGATTCTATTCGAGATGAACATGCTTTCCTGCAGAAGAAATATCCCTCTTTAGCCACAAGGAATGGAACCAAATACCTGGCCCGGACTCTCAATAGGTACACAGCTCTTGTTTTCAATTATAGATGCGCTGTTGTAGCTTGAATTATAAAGTCATAACTTATTCATTTCATCATATCACTCTGATAAATGTTGGTATTCCTGTTGTGTAGCAGCCGCTGTGTATTAAAGTCAGGAGTTGTATTCTTGAGTGACAAGGTAAACTGCCAAAGAGCTACAGATAACACTGAGAGCTGGTGCCCTTTGCTGTCATTATGTCAGGTTACTGATGCACCACATCAGAGACTGCCTCCCGGAGCTCAAGACACGGATCAATGTTCTGGCGGCGCAGTACCAGTCCCTGCTCAACAGCTACGGAGAACCTGTAGAAGACCAGAGCGCCACGCTGCTACAGCTCATCACCAAGTTTGCCACTGAATACTGCAACACCATCGAGGGCACTGCCAAGTACATAGAGACTGCAGAGCTGTAAGTAGTACTACTGCAGGTTGGCCACTTGGTGGTGCTCTTGGTACAGCACACTCTTGTGCAAAACAACTGCATTGGTTTCATCATTTGATATGATCCGACTTGTAAGTTGAGGCACGCACAGATTGTGTGAAGGAAAAGCTGACAGGAGAGATCGCGGCGGGTTCACATCAGAGCTAATATCCAGGCTGCTCTTTTTCAGGTGCGGTGGAGCCAGAATCTGTTACATTTTCCACGAGACTTTTGGCAGAACACTGGAGTCAGTGGATCCTCTGGGTGGCCTCAGTACCATAGATATTCTCACCGCTATAAGGAACGCCACTGTGAGTGTTACATCACTATGCCACTGCAGTCTGTCACTCCTGTTGTTCATCACAGCGCCCCCTGTTGCTGCTGTGGTTAGTAGCTGGTTGCCCTGAGTTACACTGTCTCTGTTCTAGGGCCCGCGTCCATCCCTGTTTGTGCCTGAGATTTCCTTTGAGCTGCTGGTGAAGAAGCAGGTGAAGCGTCTGGAGGAGCCCAGTCTGAGGTGTGTGGAGCTGGTGCACGAAGAGATGCAGAGGATCATCCAACACTGCAGCAACTACAGCACTCAGGTGAGACATGGGACAGGGTCAAGAGACATGGACACGGGACAGGGACACGAGACGGGGACATAAGACAGACCAGAATCAGTGACAAGAGACAGGGACACAAGAGAGGGACAAGAGAGTGGGCCAGAATCAGGGCCAAGAGAGAGGGACAGAATCAGGGACAAGAGGCAGGGGCAGGAACAAGTCCCATAGGCCAGAAGACATTTCCATACAATGGAAGACAAGCTGCCTGTGTCCCTGGTGGACCTGTGTACAAGATAGAAACACTGAAACATGCTGTACTGGACACAATGAACACATTGACCATATTGACAGTAAAATCCATCATTCACTTTCATTCACAATGACTAATACATCATCATTGCTCTAGTATGGGACCACTTGTATGAAATGAAAGTTTCTGAATGATAAAGGGGTTGGCAAAAAAATTAATGTCACAATTTTCTAAGAGCTTTTGTGTTTTTAATAAACCTATGTGCTCTTTCTGAACGTTTACTCTTCATTGGGATTAGTTAAAACCACCTGTCAGTCACTCATAAAGCATAAAGAAGGCTGAACAATAAAAGGAGTGGGTGGTGGATTGTGTCTGTTTTTGACCATTGAGCGCCATTAAAATGAGTGGCCAAACCTCCTTGTCAAAGCCTGAGCTCGTCAGATCTCAGAAGCTAAACAGGGCCAGGCCTTGACATTTGTAGTTCAGGAATACAGGTATTTTCCATCAACTCAGTCTAAAACTATGGGGTTTATTCTCTACCCAAACACATAATTTATAAATAATTTCACATAAAGTTTTAAAGTACAGTACAATTCCCATGACGCAATACAAAAATATGATTCATGTTGAAATCTTTTGCTGCAGACTCTACATTGCTCCTACACACAGTTTATCATTACTGCCTTGGTGGGGCTGACACAATGAGGATAGGGTTTAAAATGGTCTTAACATCCATAATATCATTGTCTTGGCTGAGCTCCTATTACCACCACACTGCAATCTGCATATAAGTAAAACAAAGGAGAGCCTAAGGACACATTATTCATAGGTTTTTACCCTCCAGCTCCCTACCTGTGCTATTGTTTATTCTACATGCATTTTGTATATGGTGAATATATTTTGTATTGCTTTGACCTACAGGAACTGCAAAGGTTCCCCAAGCTGCACGAGGCCATTGTGGAGGTGGTGACATCTTTGCTGAGGAAAAGACTACCTATTACAAATGAAATGGTATGCTTTTTAAAAATATGTATATATCAGTATCGCTTGCTAATAACTATATCTTAATTAGCCTTAATAAAGCATGAAAGAATTGATTTATTATGAACAAATGGTTTATTAAGAGGTTCATGTACCCAATTCGTCCCCATGTACTACAATACAGATATAAACAACTCTTTAGATCAAAATACGTCTTCTGTGTGCTCTCTGCATCTATTATGAAGTGGTAAAATGTCCGATAATCAGGAAGTGCGTGTTAAGACGATAGTTGTTGGTAGTTGTTGGTCTTTGAGAGTTGTGAAAAGCACTTTAAACTTATCGTGGTGAATAATGCTTAGAATCAAAAAGGTGACTGAGGAATAACTTTGCAAACCTTTTAAAATGAACTAGTTCTGTTTTTAATATTTTTAAGAGAGTAAAAATCTGGTACAGTGCCTTTAATAGCCACTTACTCAATAACCTAACCCCGTGAGTAAGTAGCCTGAATCATATTTAATTCATAATGAACAAAATAATTTATTAACTCCTTCTTCATGCTCCATTAAAGCTGTCAATAGTACAGCTAAAGGTCCTATAATACACAGAATTTACACTTGTGAGCTTTAAGACATGTTATAATGTTGTCGCTTTATCAAAAACATACCTGGAGTTGTGCTTTGTTTCATTCACACATGTTTGAGTAACACTTTATTATTATGTCTACATCTGCAATGCTCAAAATGCTCTTGTTGAAGCAGTAGTTTTCAAGTTTACAGCTTCTTTTACCTTTAGTTCAGTAGAGATTTGAAATTGCAGGGCTGAAATTATCCAAATGATTGTAGTAAAGATGTATGGAGTAAATTTGCAGGGTTTGTGTAGCCTGATTCAATAGGTTGGTTTCACTTCGTGGAAACTGTCTAACCTCGCAGCATTACGATTTGTTCGCGGGTAAGCGGGTACGTTTTTATTTCACCAGTCGTCATTTGGTTGTGACATATGTAATGTTATTATTTTATCTTATGCTTGGTCTGCATTCAATGTTTAAGCAAAACTATTATTAAACATTTATTTTAATAAGAAAAGTTTAACATTACATATATCGAAAGAAGAAAAAACATGCAGATGTTGTTGACATTTTTCAATAAATATCTAGTTTGACCCACGACTTAGTCCCAGTTTTTAATTTTGGCTCTCTGTGAATTTGAGTTTGACACCCCTGGTCTAGTGTATTCTGATTCCTGACCTAGTTGCTGAAGAGAAATGAAATTGAGCAGAGATACTAGGTGGTGCCAGCCTGGCTAGGGTTTGTGTGCTAAACCTATGTGAATGAAACAAAACACAACTCCAGGTATGTTTGTGATGAGGAAACAACATTATAACACAGATCAGAATTCATCTATATTTTACAGAGTTACTTTATTAGGCAAACTCACCATGTTTTTGTCTTTTTGTTCCAGGTCCATAACTTAGTAGCAATAGAGCTCGCCTACATCAACACAAAGCATCCAGACTTTGCAGATGCCTGTGGAGTTATGAATAATAATATAGAGGTATGTATTAGCATCTCAGTATCTAATAACACACTAGCTTTAGCCTGACTTTTATATGAAAATGTTAAATCAAATCTTGCATGGGAATTTAGTATTGTAATAAAAATTAAAGACGTTTTCTAAATGCTTTTTCCTATTTAATGTCCAGTGAATGAGGTTTGGCACTTTGGGTAAAACCATGAATGCGTTTAACATCTGTTTTTATGTGGTGAGCAGGAGCAGAGGAGGAACAGGATGAGGGAGCTGCCTGCATCTGTCCCCAGGGATAAGGTAAAGATTCACATATATTTAAATAAGGCAGACTTCCTGTGTGCTTAATATAAAGAAGACTCATGTTAATCACTTTTAGCACTACAGGATGTGAACCAAATGATCAGGAACTTTACCCAGCATCTCTCAAAATGTCTCCTCTCTTTTTTAAATGAGGTCACTCGGTCCAGCTGATCACTCTGATTCCTCCAGTATGTCTGTATTCACTGTTTGGGTCAGATGTATGTTTGATCCCTCTTAATCACTGCAAACCAAATATATTCAAGAATACGATTAAAGACCCCTTAGTCAGCACATTTTTAAATTTAAAACTTTTTTATCGTGGAAGGCCTGGATGCTTTCAGCAGCAACTGGTCATTTAGGACTCAGAATTGTTGTTACACATAACTTGTAACATAAAACAGAACTTGTTTGAACTGTGTATTTCCATCATAGACTGTATAAAAGAAGTGGACTAAGCAAGTGTGACGTCACCCACAGGGTTCAGCTCCTCTCAAATGAAGCTCCCGTTGCCATGGTTACAAGAGCAAATCAGGAGCAAGGCTCCATATTTGGAAATCCGACCGCGAGTATCATAGCAATCACAAGAGCCAATCATGATTGAGGTTGTTAAATGTGCCTGCCCTTCTCACAGGAAAGTGGGAAGGGGGCTTACTTAGCAACGAAACGCACAAGCTATCAATCAAACCTGTTGCTAACGCTAGCGGGAGCGACCTCGGAGAATGAAGGCATCTGATTGGTCCGTTATTTATGCAACAAGATCCCAATGTAAGTCAAATTGGAGCCAGGGTCAGAAGCAGCCGGAAGAGCCTCCTGGAGCACTTCCTATTTGGAACGTGGCAGCTAACGCATTAGCTATGTCCACTCATATATATACACTCTATGATTTCCATGGAACATGCTGCTTCCAGGAGTTACATAATGTTGCTTTGACCTGAACTGTATTAAAATTTAAACACAAAAACCTAAAACAATGGTACAATTTAGTACAGTAGTACATAGAAGGCCACACCTTCACACCTTCACCGTCACCTTAACCTCTCCAAACTGAGCACCAGTCGCCTTTTCTCTCCCTACATTTCTTCTCAGAGCGTATTTTTGTCTTCTCTTTCCCCATTCCCTCTCATTTTTCTGCTAGTCTGTTGGCAAAGGCCCGGCTGTGGCCCCTGGCGAGCCCCCTGTGGCTGGAGCAGACATGGTAGGGGCCAAGGTGGGCATGTAGGCTGTGGCTCCCTGGATTGTAGCCTGTCTACAGGCTGCTGCCGGGGCTGGGGGTGGATGGATGGATGCATGGGTTACTGCTGTGTTGGCATGAACACTGAATCTGTGTGCTCACGTCATGCTCTTGTTTTGCTTCCCTTCAGCCTGCGTGGACTTGCATTAAAAAGACAAACATATTCTGCACCTTGTTTACTGACTTTCCCTGTTAGGGCTGTTCAATTTGAGAAAAATATAGTTCACTTGCAAATTTTTGTACTATTCTAACTAATTTGTTTTCGAATTTTATGTTACTAGAACAGCGCCCATCCAGGAGCCTTAAAGATTCACTATGTAACTTTTTTCTGATGAGGAGTCGACACCTGCTTACCTTTATGCTTTATCTTTTGCATATATTATAATACAAGTATTATACTTATAATATATAAATATACAGAGACAAGCAGATGGACCAAAAAAGTTGCATAGTGCACCTTTAATATTTGAGAGATTATTGATAATAATTGCCAAACTATTAAACTTTTTTTGCATTTTTGTAGAGAATTAAAGTACAGGCTTGGCAAGTTTTTGTTGTTTGCAAAGGGAATCCTGTTACTTGTATAATTGCAGGAGCTGATAATCAAAGGTCCTGTATTATACAAAACTAACTCTTGTGAGCTTTGAGCCATGTTATAATGCTGTTACCGCCTCAAAAACATTTGTGTTTGGAGTTGTGTTTTGTTTCATTCACATTGAGTAACCCTTTATTATTAGTCTGGCTCCATCTACAAAACTCAAAATGCTCTGTGGTGTCATGATGAAGCAGTAGCTTTCAAGTTAATAAATCCTTTTACATTTTGTTGAGTAGTGTTACGACCCCAACCTGGGCTTTGTGTGTGCTTGTGTGCGTGTGTGTGTGTGCTGGCTCTCTCCCCCTCCCCTACAGGTTCCAGCGAGTGGGAGGGGCTGACCATTAGCTGCACCTGGTAGAGGGCACACCATCCTTAAATGCTGGCCGCTGGAGACTGCCCATTCCTGCCCATGCGGCCACAACTTTGCCTGCATCCTGTTTTTAATATCTATTTATGTAATCCTTTTTAAACATGTGTGGACTCCATCTTGTCTGAACCCTGAGCCAGTTCATGACAAGTAAAGATAGGAAATTCCTGAACTGGAATGAAGTGAAGGTGTATGGAGATTAAATATGCAGGTTTTGTGTATTAAACGTGTGAATGAAACAAAACACAACTCCAGGTCTGTTTGTGATGAGGTAACAACATTATAACAGAGATCAGAAAATAGTTTAATATTTGAGACTATTCAAATTGTGATTTCCGTTGCAGCCTTACCATCCCTTCTGATCCCATTTCCTTTTCTAAACTTTTGTGATGTTTTTTGTACCCAAGCATATTGGATAGCAGGACAGTTGTTCACAATCAAAACCTCTATGGGCTGTAAGTGCACAATTTAGAACAAGTGTAACAACAAGTACAAACTCCCTCCCTACTACTGTGTTTTTGTAACTAGTGCCATTGTAGCAATTTGTTTCCCTTATGCTTATCTGCCAATACAACTGTTCTTCAGAGCAGATATTTTAGTCTTCATTGCTTTGTTGATTCTTCTTATTTCTCTACAGTTTCAATATTAGACCATATATTCCTAGACGAATTGTTAGCATACTTGAAATAATTTGTTTTTCTTTTACTTTGCAGCCCATTTATTTTAAAATAGTTAAGTCCAATAGATTTCTACTGTGTTTAACTGGAAGCTAAATTTGTACATTGTGCCTGTATCTACTTATTTCTTCATATTTTTAATCTTAGAACATGCAAATATTCTTAGTGAGATTGTTAGCACATAATTCAAAGTTGTTATGATAGTTGTATTATTTTGCGGCCCTTAAATTTTGTAGTAACCACATAGATACGTGTTTAACTAAATGCTAATTTGTTATAGTCTTAGCTGGAATATATACTTAACCTGTAGCTACTTATTTCTTCATATTTTCAGTGTTCAAACATTGTGTCACAGTGTAGTTAGGTGAAAAAATCTGTTGCACTATATGTTTTTGTCTTAACTGAATGCTAACTTGCTATATTTAGCCTGTAGCTATGTATTTCTTCATATTTACAATCTTTAAAACAATCCTGGTCAGATTAACTTGCTATATTTTGCCTGTAGCCACATATTTTATCATATTTACAATCTTTAAAACATTCCAGATTGTTAGCGCATATTTCAAAATAATTACAACTGTTTGATTGTTATAGGTGCCCTTAAAATATTAAATTAATACTATGTGTTTAATGGAATGCTAATTAGCTTTAGCTCTAATCTATACTTTACCTATAGCTACTTATTTTTTTATATTTTCAATCTTCAATCATTCGGATGATCTCTGTTAAATTGTGTCAAACTAGTTAGCGCAGATAGCGTTAGTGAAGTTAGCGCAACAGAGTTTTTCACCTATGTGTTTTATGTCTTAACTGAATGCTAACTTGCTCTATTTTTCCTGTAGCTATAGTATTTCTTCATATTTACATTCTTGAAAATAATCCTGGTCAGATTGTTAGTGCATAATTCAAAATAATTACAACAGTCTGATTATTTTGCGGCCCTTAAATGTTGTAGTAACCACATAGATTTCTACAATTTACAAACTGAATGCTAATTTGCAATAGCCCTGGTGCTATATTGTGTCTGTAGCTACTTATTTCTGAATATTTTCACATTTAGAACAGCATATATTCTTGTCAAGTTCTTAGCGCATAATTCAAAAAAATTATCACTGCTTGATTATTTTGCGCCCTTTTAATATTGTAGTAATCACATAGATTTCTACTGTGTGTTTAACTGAATGCTAATTTGCTATACTGTGGTGCTAAACTGTATCTGGTTACATGCTGCCATTCTGACATATTTCATTTTCATTTCCATTTTTTTATCAAACGTACCTGCACTCCAACATTTTTATATATTTTTTTGCCTTGGTCGGAGTGATGGCATGTTAGCTTTTTTTTTTTTTTCAACATTCTGCCATTCCGACACAAGGTAATTATTAAGTTGCGGCAGCTCTTTTTTCAGGGAAATGTTTTCAGAACTGGCAGCGTAGGAGATGTAGGAGGGGCGTTGCGTACCTCGGCATAGTTTAGTCCTGGTTAAATCCTGGTTTAAACCTGGTTTAGTCCTGGTTTTAGCTCTGGTTTTAGCTCTGGTTTTAGTTCTGGTTTTAGTTCTGGTTTTAGTCCTGGTTTTAGTTCTGGTTTTAGTCCTGGTTTAGTCCTGTTTTAGTTCTGTTTTAGTCCTGGTTTTAGTCCTGGTTTTAGTTCTTGTTTTAGTTCTGGTTTAGTCCTGGTTTTAGTTCTGGTTTTAGTTCTGGTTTTAGTCCTGGTTTTAGTTCTGGTTCAGTCCTGGTTTTATTTCTGGTTTAGTCCCGGTTTTAGTTCTGGTTTTAGTCCTGGTTTAGTCCTGGTTTTAGTCCTGGTTTAGTCCTGTTTTAGTCCTGTTTTAGTCCTGGTTTAGTCCTGGTTTTAGTTCTGGTTCAGTCCTGGTTTTAGTTTTGGTTTAGTCCTGTTTTAGTTCTGATTTAGTCCTGATTTTAGTCCTGATTTTAGTCCTGGTTTTAGTTCTGGTTTTAGTTCTGGTTTTAGCTCTGGTTTTGAGGTGCCCATGTGGGTATACAAGGCATAAAGTTGACGCTCCAAACTATTAGTAAGTTGTCAGAATGGCGACATTAAAGGTGTCAGAGTGGCGGTATGTCGGAGTAACAGTTGTACCCCACTATATCTGTAGCTACTTATTCCTCCATATTTTCACATTTAGAACATATATTCTCATCAAGTTGTTAGCACATAATTCAACATAATTATAATAGCTGTATTATTTTTCACCCCACCACATAGACTTCTACTGTGTTTAACTCAGTGCTAATTTGATGTAGCCTTAACTCCAATCCATACTCTGTCCGTAGCTACATATTTCTCCGCATTTTCAATCTTCGAAGATTAACTATTCCCAGTCAAATTGTTAGCACGTAGTTAGCAGAATTTTTTTTTCACTTATATGTTTATGTCTTAACTGAATGCTAATTTGCGCTAGTGCTATTCTGTGCCTGTAGCATGTTGTGTGCGTTTTTATTCTCAGTGCAGTACATGCCTGTGTGGTTTCCCAGTGCATTCAATCCTAGCTACCAGTCCTTGTTAGCCTGAATATTAAGCAATTGTTAGTTTTCTGTCTGGTCTTCAAAGGTACATTGTGTAACTTTTTTGGTGGAGGGTCCGTCAAATGCTTTTTTCCATGGATATGTCATTGTTCTGCCTGGAATGTTCCACAGTTTGACATTAAACAGTTCTACCTTACATTTATTCAATTACAGGAGGTTTTATAGCTCAGAAGTACCTAGAAGAAACAGATATTCATACTCTACACAGATCTGACCTGCAAATTGGGAGAAAAGCAGCTGGAAGGTCCATCAAATACTTGTTGAGATGTTATCGCTTTGCCTGGAATGTTTCACAATATGGTATTAAACTTTTCTATCTTCACGGAGACCAAACCAGACCAAGTTACAGGTCAGATCTGTGGAGAGGCGACCTCGCTCACAGTCAAAATGCCTGTTTTTTTGTTTTTGTTTTAAAGCCATTTCTGAGCTATAAAACCACCTGTAACTGAATAATTGTAAGTTAGATCTGTTTATTGTCATATTCAGTTCAATTCAATTCAATCTTTATTAAGAGCACGTAATATCTGGTTCATAGTATTAAAAAGAAAATAGTAAGAATAAAAAAATGTAAATATACAGTGCATGTTATAATGTATACAGACAAGAGCGGCAGTGTCTCCACAGCTTAGAGGTAAATCTGACAGAGCTCCTCACAGGACACACTAGAGCTTCAATGATTCGATTGCTCAGATTCATGGCTCTACACATAAATTAATAAATACAACATCTGATCATGACAACACAGGGTCTCACACCAGAATTTACAAACATTTCACTGGCGCTACAGAACCTCAGCACTTTCAGTAAGCTTCTCAAAGAGTCATTATAGGCCACTGTCAAACTCTGCAAACTCTTTTTCTTGTAGTTGCGCCAAAGATGTGCAGTATACATACAAGGGTGAGCAGAAGCATTTAGAAAGAGATAGATAAACTGTGTTGGTCCACAAGGGAAATATTTACATAGTAGCTCACACATCTCATTATATTATTAATAAGAAAGAGAAAAAATATAAATGGTAATAATAAATTCAAAATAAACACACGTAGCAAGAGACTGGTGTCAAATAAGGCATAATTATATAAATGTATATGTACAAGAAATAAGTAATTAAATTAAGTAGTAAGTAAGTAAATTAAGTCATAAAATTATCTCAGGTAAAAGAGATCGTAAGGAAAACAGTGCAAAGATGATAGGACATAGAGTTATATAGTGGAACATTCCAGTGGCATATCCATAGAAACAAGCAGATGACAGATCCCTAACCAAAAAGTTACAGTGCATCTTTAAGCGATAGTTTGTTTTCTATCTGGTGGTTAAGGTTTTATATTTCTGTTTCTCTTCTCTTCTCCAGGCTCCAGCTGCCGGTCCCCAGCCTGAACAGGACGGCACAGGGAACTGGAGGGGGATGCTGAAGAAGGGAGAAGATGCCCCGAGCTCTGGCCCTGGAAGTCCCCTCAAAGGAGCTGTCAACCTTCTCGATGTGGTAACTAATGTAAATCTGCATAACCAGCACTGCCTGAATAATTAAAGTCATACGCTCATTAAAACATGTGTCTGTGGTCTAGCCTGTGCCAGTTGCCCGGAAGCTGTCTTCACGTGAGCAGAGAGACTGTGAGGTCATTGAACGCCTCATCAAATCCTATTTCCTGATTGTGAGAAAGAACATTCAAGACAGGTACAATAAATATTTAAAAGTTTTCTCCATAAAGCTGTTATTTTATACTTGTTTCTGTATTATTTTAAATGTCTAACAATGTTGACTCAGGGTATAGTATTTGTAAATAAGTTCAGAATTGATTTCAGCCCTGGAATTGACAATCTCTCCTAAACAACTTCATGACATCTTGAGGTTTGAGCTTTAGAGATGTAGTCAGACTAATAATGCAGGATTACTAAAACGTGTGAATGATGGTATGTTTTTGAAGAGTTAACGGCATTATAACACGACTAAAAGCTCACAAGAGTCAATTTTGTGTAATACAGGACCTTTAAAATCCATAGAAAAATTTACCAGCCTGATAATTTTAGTTTTGAAAGTTGACTCAGGGTATAGTATTTGTAAATAGGTTCAGAATTACATAATGCCTTTCATTTTTATAGCTAGTGTTTGCTTTTGCTTTTGACAATATTATGTAATTTGCAGTACAAAAGACTTTATGTAATAATACCAAGAGATCTTATTAGGGATGTAACAATCACCAACATATCGTGATATCGAATCGTCAGAGTTCTTACAATAATATCGTGGACCATCACAATATATCGAATTACAAGTCTCTTTGCTTACATTAAGAGTTATGGTGCAGCAATAGAAAAAAAAAGACAGAGGGAACTACATAGGCCATGATCCTTTGCTCTGTTTCAGTGCAGACTACAAGAAGAAATAACAGCTCTAAGCACTTTTAATTCTTAGTTCTTTAAATTAAGTCTTGTCAAGGCATTTTAAGAGGAAAAAGTTGCATATTATCAGTTTCAGCTGTTTAGCCTCCACAAAATATTGCAATAAATATCGTACCGTGAGATGTATATTGTGAAAATTTTGTACCAAGAGATTTGGATATTGTTACATCCCTAATCGTGAGCCTCCCCTTCATATCTTGAGCTTTCCCACGATATCACAATAAATATCGTACCATGAGGTGCATATCGTGATGATATCGTATCATGAGACTTGGATATTGTTATACCCCTAGGTCTTATAGTTCTAATATACAGCATATTAAGACATTTTAAACTTTTTTGTCTCTCTTTTATGTTCTATGCATTTTTTCATACTAGTTTTTGATACTCATTTTACTATTGATTTAGTTTCTGGATATCCTTTTCTTTTTTTTTTTTGGACAACCTTATGCGTCTTCCCTGGGGTAGACTGGCAGAAACAAGGCTGCCAATGGATACTTTGCATTGGCATCATGCTGGGGGTGTTCTACATGTTTGTGCATAGGTGGAACGTTCACCAGTTGCCATGGAGACACAGTGCACAAATTAGCAAACACAACCAAATAAGTTTTAAGATCATCTGAAAAAATACAAAGTGGGTGTAAACAGCACATTTTCAGGAGCCCGTGGTCAATACGAGCATTCATGGTTCTGTTTAGGTTTAGGTGACTATAATGTTATTTGAACAAGAGTCACTCACAAAGTCAGTTCTTTCTGGTAAGGTTACGTTAAAAGATTAAAGTAATAAAGCCTCAGACAGAGCATGCCTACAGTTACCATCACACCCCCAGGGAGTATTTAGGACATCAGCTGCAAAGTATCAATAATACACCACATATACATGCAAACTCTTAACGTCCTTGCGACTCACCTCTTCCCAAACCAGTATTCAGAAATCACTTTATGTTGGCTCGCTTTATATTTCATTTTTCTGCACCGTTTTCCAGTGAATAAAACATCTGCAGTACTTAAAACATAATTAGTGACAATCCACAAACTTCAGATCTTCAAGAGAAAACAGCAGATTCAATATTACATTCCCCTGTGATTGCACATTATAGCCACTCTCCTAAAGCGTTGGCATTAGCAGGATCGCATACAGTACAGCAGAGCCACCTGGCAGCTCACACTCCAGTCTCTCCATCTGTGGAAATCAGTCGGCCATCTTGCCTCCGTGTTCCGAACCAGCTGCTCTTTCTGTCTGTTTGCTCTGCCGCACGACGGGCACAAGGTCTCAAAAGTTTGACAGACAGCGTGCACGGCATTTGTGACATATTAAAGATGCACTATGTCGCTTTTCTGGTACTTGCTTGTCTCCATGGAGATAGTACCATTTTGCCTAGATTATTGCACAGTCTGGAAATAAACTTTGTAATCACGGTGGAGTAGAGCTGGGTATCATTAAGAAGTTGCCGATACATACATACGATACATACCTCGATACAGCCCACCTTCGATTATATATGATATATTTCAAATCAATTTGATACGGTTCAATAAAAAATAAAGGCTAAATCATGTCTGTGATACTAAAAGTCTTTGTTAAACCACTTCTTATGCAAAGAGAATATGAAACATAAACATTTTAATCTTCAAAACAGTGAAAATGTGTTGCATAAACGAGCTTTGTTACTCTAAACAAACAACAAAACTAGCTCTGTGACAAAATAATTTAGTAAAATATACCAAAAAATACTCTTGGTGATATATTGATACAGCAGCCCATGATACTGATACTGTATCATCACATTAAACGATATGATATATTGATATTTTGATATTTTTGCACATCCCTACTGTGGAGACAGGTTAAAGGTCAGATCTATGGAGAAATGGAGTTCTACATGTATGTGTTTTGACGGATTTTTCACCAGTTACCATGGAGACACATTGTATACATTAGCAGACATAGCCAAATTATAGACAGAACTAGAGAAAAAATGCAAAATTGATTTAACCAACACATTTTCAGGAGCCTGTGATCAATAGGAGCGTCCATAGTTCTGTTTAGGTGTTTTATTTTCAGCAAAAAGGTAAGAGCGACTAAGAAAGATCACGTAATGTTGCAGTGGTGTTTCTTGCCAGCTGAGCTACAAAGGTTTTGGCTCTGCTCTCCCACCTGCATTGTAATATAACATAAAAAAGAACAGAAATCAGACTATGAAAAGGACACAATGGGGCAAGTGCAAGATCAGCCATAGTCGTGATTTTATCTGGATAATTTCACTGCCCTAACTCTGTCCTTGTGTTGTCCTCTGCAGCGTGCCAAAAGCTGTGATGCACTTCCTGGTGAACCACGTGAAGGACAGTCTGCAGAGTGAGCTAGTGGGACAGCTGTACAAGTCTGGGCTCCTCAACGACCTCCTCACCGAATCGGAAGACATGGCGCAGAGACGCAAGGAGGCTGCAGATATGTTACAGGTTTGTACAGAGATGGTCCAGTATTTGTTGTGCTACCTAAGTATTGCTTTTAGCAGAGAGCCAGTCACATGTAGTTATTCAGTACTTGTAGTAGTAGAGGTAGTTGTTAGTACATAAGTAGAAGTGGGAGTGGTAGTACATAGTACGTTGTACGTAGTAGGTAGTAGTTGGTAGTAGTTGGTGGTGGCAGTAGTACTAGGAGGAGGAGGAGTAGGAGGAGTAGGAGGAGGAGGAGTAGGAGGTGGTACTTGTTAGTGCCACTGGAATGTGCCACCATATTGTATTAAACTTGGTTATTTCCATAAAAACATGTAAAACATGTATTGCATGTATTTCAATGTATTTTTGAGAAATAAAAACTTTAATTGAAGTAATGCAAGATGGGTATGTTTAATGACGTACTGTGGAATATTGCACACAAAGCAATGGCAGCAATGGCATTTCCCCTGAAAGTTACACAGTGCACCTTTAAGAGTTTAAAGGGCCCATATTACGCTATTTTTTGGTCTATGTTATAATGTTGTTTCCTAATCAAAAATAAGTTTTGTTTTGTTTCATTTACGTATGTTTAAGATCCAAATCCTACATATTTAGGCTGTGTTCTTCTCTCAAACAGAAAATAATCTGTTTACCTTGTGATGTCACGTGGTAATAAAAGTGCTCCTCTGTGTTTTTAAAACCCATACACCTTCACTAGAATGATTTGGATAATTGATTGATGATTTTAGCTGTGGAATTGACAATCTCTCTTGAATTGAAAAGGTAAAAGATAGCTGTTAACTTGAAAACTACCTCTACATGACATCACAAAGTGGAACAGAGCATTTTGAGCTTTGAAGAAGTATACTGTAAGTATTACTACCCAAACGTGTGAATGAAACAAAACGCAACTCCAGGTATGTTTTTGAGCAGGTAACAACATTATAACATGGCTAAAAGCTCACAAGAGTCAGTTTTGTGTAATATGGGACCTTGAAAATCCATAGCAAAATTAACTAAAGTTCACAAATTAGTTTTCAATGTTTCTAAATTTGTAAAATGTTAATTAGTCATAAATAATACTAGTATCAGTAGTTGTAGTAGTCACTAGTTTAGTTTAGTTTAGTCTTGGTTTAGTCTTGGTCCAGTCATAGTTTAGTCCTGATTCAGTCTGTTGTTTTAGTCTCTTGTTTTAAAAGTCTCCTGTGTTTGTCTCTTGGTTCAGTCCTGGTTTAATCTCTCGGTTCAGTCCTGGTTTAATGCTGGTTTAGTCTCTTGGTTTAGTCCAGATGTATTTCCTGGTTTAATCCCAGTTTAGTACCAGATTTGATGTATTGATTGTGAAGTGTGCCTTGGAGGGTAATAAGATGTGGTAGTTTTGTCAGTAGTTAGTAAGTAGAAGTGGTAGCAGAATCACAGGTTCTTGTAAAGCCACTAGCTTGAGAAAAAGTCAAAGTATTTTCCTGTGTGTGTATTGTTTCCACAGGCATTACAGATGGCCAGCCAGATGTAGTCTTAGTGGGTAGTACTTAGTAACAGTAGTAGTTGTGGTACTGGAGGTAGTTGTTAACAATTTGTAAATTGTTCTATAATGATAGTGGTGCTAGTAGAAGTTATTGCGGAACCACTAATTCAAGGAAAAAGTCAACTGATTTTCCAATGTGTGTATTTTGTCCACAAACAAAGAAGAAAGAGCCAGATGTAGTAATCTGGTAGTTGTTAGTAGATAGTAAATCAAAGTAGATGGCAGGAGGAAGTATAAGTTATTATAGAATCACTATTTGGAGGAAAAAGTCAAATATTTTCCAGTGCATGTATTTTCTCCAGAGGGGCTGCAGAAAGGCAGTCACATTTATTAATTTAGTAGTTGTTAGTAAGTAGTAAATAGTATTAAATGGCAGTACTTAGGAAGGAGTGGTGGTAGCAGAAGTAAGTTATTGTAGAACCACTAGTTTGGGGGAAAAGTCAAATATTTTCCAATGTGTGTATTTTGTCTGCAGGCGTAGCAGAGAGCCAGTCACATGTAGTAATGCAGTACTTTTAGTAGTAGAGGTAGTTGTTAGTAAATAGTAGAAGTAGGAGTTGTAGTAATTGGTAGTAGTAGTAATTGGTAGTAGTAGTAGTAGTAGTAGTAGTAGTAGTAGTAGTAGTAGTAGTAGTAGTAGTAGTAGTAGTAGTAGTAGTAGTAGTAGTAGTAGTAGTAGATGGTGGTGGTAGTAGTAGGTAATAGTTAGTTAGTAGTTAGTAGTAGATGGTGCCATTAGTTAGTGGTAGTAGGTAGAAGGTTGTGGTAGTAGTAGGTAGTGATAGATAGTAGGTAGTAGTAGTAGTAGTTGTAGTAGGCAGTAGAAGTATGTAGTAGTAGATAGTAGTAGGTAGTACAAGGTAGTAGTAGATGATAGTAGGTAGTAGATAGTAGTAGGTAGTGGTAGATAGTAGTAGGTAGTAGTAGATAGTAGGTAGCACACGGTGGTAGTAGATAGTAGTTAGTAGTAGTAGTTAGTGGTAGTAGGTAGAAGTTGTTGGTACTAGTAGATGATAGTAGGTAGTAGGTGGTAGTAGTAGATAGTAGTAGGTAGTACAAGGTAGGAGTAGATGGTAGTAGTAGGTAGTGGTAGGTGGAAGTAGATGGTAGTAGGTAGTACAAGGTGGCAGTAGATGGTAGTACAAGGTAGTAATAGATGATAGTAGGTAGTAGTAGTAGGTATTAGTAGGTGATAGTAGTTGTAGGAGGTAGTAGAAGTATGTAGTAGTAGATGATAGTAGGTAGTAGTAGGTTGTAGTAGGTGGTGGTAGTATGTAGTAGTAGATGATAATAGGTTGTAGTAGTATGTAGTAGCAGATGGTGGTAGGTAGTAGTACATCGTAGTAGGTGGTAGTAGTATGTAGTAGTAGGTAGTAGGTAGTGAGTAGAAGTGGTTCTACAAGTTATATTAGAAATGTAAGTTTGAGTAAAAAGTCAAATGATTTTCCCTCATGTGTCTTTGTCCGCAGGCGCTGCAGAAAGCGAGCCAGGTGATCGCCGAGATCAGAGAGACACATCTGTGGTGATCACTATCTCCTCATCTCTCTTCATGCCTAAGGTCCGACGCTTCACGCTCTCACGTCCAAACTTGAATTCTCCAAATGCACTGATCCTTATTTAAACATATTGTTGGTATTATCTCGGCCCGTAGCCACCTGGATCAAATCTACTGTTTTTATTTATACTTGAGTAATGCTTGTTGTATTTGAGAATGCACTGCCTATGTTATTGGTAATGTTAAAGTTGCGTTGTGTAACTTTTCTGTTTGAGTGTCCGTCAAATGCTTTTCTCCGTGGAAAACTGTTGTTGCTTTAACTGGAATGTTTCACAGTATGACATTAAACCTTTCTATCTTCCTGGAGACCAAACCAGACCAAGTTCCAGGTCAGATCTACGGAGAGACAATCCCGCTCACAGTCAGAACGCCTGTTTTTCTTGGTATTTTTGAGCTATAAAATCACCTGTAATTGAATAAATGTAAGATGGAGCTGTTTAATGGCGTACTGCGGAACATTCCAGGCAAAGCAGTGATCATAGGCATAGGCCCCATCCACACTAGTACGTATTCAAGTCGTTGATCCAGCACTGTGTGGACGCCTGAAAACGCTGATACGCTGACGTAGGTCTATGCACCGCGAAGTAATTCACCATCAAAACGCTAAGAGGCTAGAATATATGTCCATTCATGTATACGGTTTATGCTTATGACCTGCAGATGTATAATCTCTGAAAAGTTTAACATGAACCATCTCCAACGCGACAGAAGCACAGAACAGACTCACCATCAGCAGAACACCCCTCTGTCACAGAAAGAACACTTATGATCCACTGAGTCATGTCCTTTAGTCCGAGAGAAACTGAACCGCATCAGCGCACAATAGCGAGCTGTTTTTTGAGCGCTTAGTTTATACAATTTAGCCATGTGGTTTTAAGTTTCGTTTCTGTAAAATGTAAACAAATATGCTCAAAGCTGTGTGGATAAGGAAGGATTGTGGACACAGAAATGACGTGTTTCCGATACGGTGATTCACTTCAGTGTAAACGTAATCACAGAAACAAGCAGGTGATGGACCCCCAAACGAAAAGTTACACAATGCGTCTTTACAAGTAAGATATTTAAAACTAGATGCCACAACAAGAAAAATACAACGTAAGGAAATATAACGTTATTATTTATACTTGAGTAATGCTTGTTGTCTAGAAGTATTTGAGAATGCACTGCCTTTATCATTGCTAACGTGAAAAGTAAGATATTTAAAACTACTAGTAGATGCCACCTGTAGCTTCTGAAGGTACAAAGAGTGCAGCCAGAGAAATACTGTGACAGACTGCGGTTAACCAATATGGAAATGTACTTTCAGATGAAGTGGAAATTCAAAAGTTTCACTGCTGTTTTTGGCAGCTACACAAAAGCATTTGATATCGTTTTGGCTCAAGATACAAATATATTATTCATCTAGTCATAAACCATTTTCCTTTAGGTGTACAGATCAAGTTCAGGAGAATTGGGGACACTGTGTAAAAACGTCACTGCAAGACCAATAAAACTGAATTTTATTCACTGCTTTATGCTGCGTTGGCTGGTACGGATGTAGATCAACGCAGTATTTTGGGTCATAGATGGGGCATACCTTGGATTGTGGCCAGCTAGTCGTCAAAATACTTAGATATACTGTACACATTAAGAAAACAACTCGGCATTCATTTACAATTGAGATTATGAACAGTAGTATTCTATGTTTTGAATAGTGAAAAGTACTCAAATAACCAGGAGACCAAAACACATGAATAAAGTGAAGGCAAACGTCATTGGAAAATTATTAAAGCACATTTTATTCAGTGTAGTTCAACCTAGTACTTTGGGTCATAAATGGGGTATACCCTGGATAGCGGTAGCCACTCTGGCGCCACCTAATGTCTCCAATGAATTTAATTTCTCTCCAGCGACTAGGTCAGGAATCAGACTACACTAGACGGTTCGCAAAACCCCCAGAAGTGCGGGTCCAGGCACCGGCCAATCAGTGAAGAGCCATATATTTTGTTTTGGCAACGATTCCCGAGATCGAGGATTTAAAGCCGGAACAAAGAGAATGTTTGGTGAATTTTATCAAGGGGAAAGACGTTATTGCCCTTCTTCCTACGAGATTTGCTTAATATACCAGTTAGCCCCGTTAGCAGCGCATTACATACCTCACGACCAAATGGCAGCGACTGGTTAAATGAAAAAAGTACCTGCCTACCGTCAAGCGAACAAATTCTAACTCTGCGAGGTCAGACAGTTTCTACAAAGTGAAACTGACTGATGAATCAGGCTAGGATAGTGGTCAGCTACTTGTTAAAATACATAGATATACTGTATATATTAAGAAACAGAAAACAACTTGTTACAATTCAGGTTATAAAAAGTCTCTGTTCATGGTTTTCAGAGTGAAAAATGTAGTATTCTATGTTTTGAATGATAATAAGTACTCAAAATTGCACTGATAAACAGAAAGCCAAAATTCATGAATAAAATGGAGGCAGATGTAATGGCAGAACTAAAAAAAATCAGTTAATCTTTTTAGGGTTGGCTGGTACTGTTGTAGATTAACCCAGTACTTTGGTTCATATGTGGGTTATACCCTGAATTGTGGACAGATACGTAAATATTAAGATACTAAAACAACATTTAGAAGCATTAGTTTACAGTTTAGATTATAAATAGTTTACTACTCTATCTGTGGGGTTCAGATTCAAAACAAATATTCTGACTACTGAAACCATGTGAAGAAAGACTTTTTTACACAGGGTCCCAGCTTTTTGTGAAATTATTTTGCAGTAGGAGTTCAGTTTGAAAGTATTTGCAGGGATTGTTTATGTTGTAATGGTTTTCATTGCATTTGTAGCTCATTTGATACTTTGTACATATCTTCATATATAATGTACAGCTCTGGAGAAAAAAAATGGAGTAATTTAATGTTGAATCTCCACAACCGTAGGGAAAAAGATCTTGACAACATTAAAAAGTTAAGTTTTAGACATAATAGACATTGCGTTTATACCATATCCATATCCATGGAGATGTTATTGCTTTGCTTGGTGTGTTTTCAGGCTTTATTTTCTTTTAAGGCAAAGCGTTATCATCTCCATGGAAGCACACCGTGGACCCTGCACCACAAAAAGTTACATAATACACCTTTTAATCACATTATTCTCCATCCAGCTTATATAATACATAATACTTATTCTATTTGGTGTTTTCTCCAGAGCTGTATTGGGTTGCGTTGACTTTCTGTAATAATGTAAAGAAGCCCACTGGTCCTTACACTGTGTTGCCATCTGAACCTTTATTTATTATTCTCGTTAAATGTGATGTTGTGTGAATATTGTTACTGCACTGCTGCCTGACTATTGGTGCAGCAGCTCATTTAATTCTGTTGTTTACATATCACGGTCATGAAACTCGTGTCATTTCTAGTGCACTGTGTGTTGCCATTGAGAATAAATAGAGGTATTTTATTGCCATTTGAGCACATTGTTGTCGTTGTTGTTTTGTTTTAAGATTGCGGCTCGACTGAGATAAACTGACATTAATAACAGTGTTTACAATTATTTTTCATTGTTTACACTTTAATTAATACGCCGCCCGCTGCTAATGTTTTGACAAGTAATTTAAAACTGCTGATATTTTTATTTCATGCTAGACTTCCCTTGGCCCTGTCTAATCCTTCAGCGCAGTGTAGTAAGAGACCTGAATATTTCTTAAAGATGCGCTGTGTAACTTTTGTGTTGCAGCGGTTTCCCACTTGCTTGACTTCATTGAGTTGGTATTGCTTTACCTTGAATGTTCCAGAGTATGGCATTAAAGTTACATTCAATACCAGCACAGGTAAGTTCCTAAGTACCTAAACTACTCTGTGGAAATATGGGGAAATACTTATAAATCAAATATTAATAAAATGTTTCTACTCCAAAAGAAGGTTATTAGGATTATTAATCATGCAAATTACTATGCGCCAACAAATCCTCTTTTTGTTAAGCTAAAAGTACTTACATTTTTTTATCTTGTTCACCTGAGTACAGCTCTAGTGATGTACAAGGCCTAGAATCATCTTGTTTACAGGAGTTATTTGAGCAGAGAGAATAGGTATCTTTAAAAAAAAAAATGAAGATAAGAACTAAGAAAAAAAGGGATTGTAGCCTATTTCTGTTAGAGGGGTTAGTATATGGAATAACCTGAGTGATGATTTTAAAAAAGCCTAATACTGTAGAAGCATAAGAGTATAAAGCGTTATAGAGCTCTGGAATTAATCAATTAAGCATTTAATTGAGTTTGTTTTAATTTATATTTTGCCTCTTATATATACAGTAAGTCATAAGTGAAATTGTAAATGTGAACCTGTTGTTCATATGCTGTTTTTTTCATGGAACTCTGTCATTGTTTAATAGAGTTAAGCATTATAAGATTAAGTATTTTTTACTTCAGCCTAAACCCTTTCGGTCATGATCTATGGGATTGTAATCTGTTTTGTTTTGCTTTATACTGCTGCAAAATGACCGAATAAACTACTACTAACAAAAAAGAAAAACAAAACATAACAAAAAAAACTGTATGTTGGGTAACATCTCCACAGATCTGACCTGTAACTTGGCATGGTGTCGTAACTTGTCTGTTACCATGGAAATAGATATGCTTACTGTGCACATATTGTGAAACATACCTGGCAAAGCAAAAACATCTCCATAGAGACAAGCTGGTGGCAGATCCTCCACCACGAAAGTTACACTGTGCACTTTATAAGATACATTTGATCTTATTAGCAATATTAATAGCAAAAGTAAAGTTCAATTCTGTCAACTCAATAAAACTTTCAGTGTAGTTACTCCTTCCTTCAGACAGATATAAGGGAGTGTCCACCAGCATCTGACCAGAACTGAAGAAGCAGCTTGGATGAGATATAAAATGTCTTCACTCTAAAATTTGTATTCATTCGACAGAATTAAATTTTTATTTTCCTGTGGATCATAGCCGGACAACTGAGGGATTACACAAACAGCAATTATGAATGGTATAACAAAAACAAAGTATATAAAGTACTTTTAGTGTTAGAGTTATAAAATATTGCCATATATTGCTTAAAAATGAAACCTACTTAAAGATGCACTGCATAACATTTCTTGTGGAGGGTCCGCCACCTGCTTGTCGCCATGGAAATGTTATTGTTTTATCTAGAATATTCAAAAATTTATAAGACAAGTTACATTTTTAAGTAATAGAAACACGTAATGAATAAATGCTGGATAGATGTGTTTAATGTCATAATATGGAACATTCCAGGCAAAGCAATAAATTCTCCACAGAGACAAATAGTTTGCGGACCCAAGTTTCTCACTGCACCTTTAAGTTTATTTAGCACATTTAAAACATAAACGTGTTGTGCAGATCCAGAGTGTGAACTTATGACTGGGCGACTGGCTCTGTGGTTGGAGAGATCTCAAACCCAAAGGTTGGCAGCACAGTTAAACCAGTGCTGTGGTCGTGTCCTTGGGCAAGACACATTTATATGCACATTGTGAATAAAATGCTCCATGCTCCTGCCTCTCGTCAAAAAGGGGTTGTGGGTTCAATTACAATCTCTCTGCCTCTCTTGTCTCACTGTACTCTGTGACCTGCGACTGAACTGCCTATTTTCTGGGGGGAAAAAATGTAATTGCAATTATTTCTGACTGACAGAGTTCAAATTTTCAAATAAAAGTTAAGTTCAAAGTGCAAATTTTAGACATGTTTGGGAACATCTTGTATTGCACAAAACTGACTCTTGTGAATTTTAAACTAAGTTATAATAGTGTTACCATTTCAAAAACATACCCAGAATTGAGTTTTGTTTCATTCACACTTGTTTGAATAACCCTTGATTATTATTAGACTTTATTAGACTTTATTAGTCTTCAGCGCCAAAGATCAAAATGCTCTGTTCCACCTTGTGATGTCAAGTTAACAGCTACTGTGCACCATTTTTCAGTAGAGATATATCCAGAATATCCACAATATCAAAAATATCCAGAATATCCAAAATATCCTGAATATCCAAAAATATCCAGAATATCTAGAATTTCGAAAATATCCAGAATACCCAGAATATCCAGAATATCTAGAATATCCAAACTATCCAAAATATCCAAAATATAATATCCAGAATATCAAAAATATCAAAATATCCAGCATATCGAAAATATCCAAAATTTCCAAAATATCGAAAATATCCAGAATATCCAGGATATCGAAAATTTCCAGAATATCCAAAATATCATAATATCCAGAATATTCAAAAGATCCAGAATATCTAGAATATCGAAAATATCCAGAATAGCGAAAATATCCAAAATATCTAGAATATTGAAAATATCCAGAATATGCAGAATATCCAAAATATCCAAAAATATCCAGAATATCCAAAATATCCAAATGAGTCTTGTGAAAGTGTATGAGTTTAAAACCAGAGTGGAGCACTTCCTGTATTACCACATGACACCACAAGGTGTAACACAGTGTTTTCTGTCTGAGGGAATAACTCAGCCTAAATATTCAGGATTTGTGTGTTAAACATGTGTGAATGAAACAAAACACAACTCTAGGTATGTCATGGAAACCCAAGATGCAGGACTACACTTCAGCTGTTTAATGTAACAAAACCAAAAACCAGAAAAAAATCAAATACCAAAAATCCAAAAATAGAAACTCAACTGCCATGACAAGAGACAAGAGGCAAGACACTGACAGTGACGAAGACAATGGACCAACAAAGGGCAGAGGAGAACACTGGGGTATAAATGCACACAGATAGAGCTGAAACACATTAGGGCACGGCAAACAATCAAGACAGAAAGTAAAACTCAAAACTAGAAGCAGACAGGACAAATGTCAAAATGAAACACCAAACTAAGCAAAAACAGTGACAACAAAACATGAATCATGACAAGGCATGGTTTTGATAAAGAAACAAAATTATAACAGGCCACTTGAAGCTTGAAACCCTCTTCAAAATGTTGGTCATTAAAATATTTTTATTCTGCCCATTTATACGTGTTAAATCATAAGTCTTGTTAAGTCAAACTGAAACAAGCTACTTATCTCTTTGTTACATTTGACAATCACAGCCCATTTTGAATAAACACAAATCTATTATTCCCATGATCGCCTTCCGAAATTTTCCTCTTAAAAATCTTTGCAAAGGAAAACCAGGTCTGCAGTGTTCATCTTTTACAGCATGATCACAGCTGCGTTATTGAAGTGGCAAAAACTTTATATGGACATGTACATTTATTCTTATCTGTTCGTTGCCTGTACATGCTGAAGTAGGGCTTATTGTGAATTTTGAAAAAGCAAAAGTAGGGAGGTCAGATGAATCATATTTAAGAATGGACTCAAATCACAAAGGCTGCAATTGTTGAAGTGCAATAATTTACTTCATAAACAACAAAATAATATTGTCTCAGTCTGCTTAGAAAAACTAATTGGCTTCATAGTTTAGTCAATACTTCTGGACCTGTTTAAAAATCCCATATTACGTTATTTTCTGATCTGTTATAATGTTGTTTTCTCATCACAAATACACCTGAAATTGTATTTTATTTCATGCAGACATGTACGACATAGAAATTACATGTTTAGGCTGAGTTCTGAGTTCTTCTCGCAAACAAAAAAACACTCTGTTCCAACTTGTGATGTCATGTGGTGATACAGGAAGCGCTCCATTGTGGTTTTAAACTCCATACACATTCACTAGAATCATTTGGATCATTTCAGCCATAGAATTGCCAAGTCTCTACTAAACTGTCTCTACTAAATGTTGACAGAGTAACATGTGTACAATCCCTCAATCGTCCAGGTAGAATGGCAAAAGAAAAATTCAATTTGTCAACTGGGGCTACGTTTATATGATGACGGTCTGAACAGAAGACGCAAAAGAGGAAAGCTGCGTGCATACTGGGTGCCAACATGTGTGGAATTCAATTGGGTATGTATGCCATTTGACATGTTTGTTTCTGTGTACTGTATGTATGTGACGTGCGGCCTGGGGGCCATATGCGACCCTTTAATCTTCTTAATCCGGCCTGCCGAACTTGAATAATAATAATAATTTTCAGTGTTTTAAAAGTCATTTCAATAAATAGTAAATACCGTGGGACTTGAAAGACAGATATTTTGACAGATAGCATGCTTTGTAATGATTTTCAGTTATGGGATATTTCAATAAAATGGGATATGTTTTCTACATATCCAGTGTTATTTTTTTCTCTTATGAGGTGGATTACCAAAAAACACCATCCATCTGCTCCTGGTTCGACCCCTATCAAATTTTAGAACCCTTTGTAGCCCATGAGTCAAAAGTTTGCCCACCCCTGGTCTAAACGAAAGGCACTTCTGATAAAATATTTTGTTTTTACTTGCAAACGTTCTCATGTAAACAGGCTCTGAGCAAACGTTTATTTTGGTCGAAATCCAACCAAAGACCAAAATAAACTTTTGTCC